ATGCACCACTTTGGCCTGCATTGCGTCGCTCCCTGGGGCTGGGCGGGCACGGAGAGGGGACACGGAGCCTCCCTCCGCTTCGGCTCCCACTCGGTGCTTTCACAGCCCCGTTCCTGCCCACTGTGCAAACCCTGCCGCCAGGCCGGGGCGAGGGCGGCCCAAAGGAGCAGCCAAAGGGAGGAGCAGCCACACGGTGCCTGGATCCTTCCCCAGGGCCCCCTGGGCACAGCGGTGACACAGGGGTGCAGACCCCGCTCCACAGAGGAGCTGTTCCCAGGAGGCCACGAGCTCCCGGTGGGACGAGCTTGCGAGGGGACAGCAGGGGAGCAATGAGCCCCAGGCTCCTGCAGAGCGCCCGTGTGGCCTCTGCCTCCCCGAGGCGAAGGATGAGTGCCTCGCGGCTCGTGAAGCCGCAAGGTCACCCTGGGCCTGCTGCGGGCAGCGAGCAGGAGGTGTAGAGCGGCACTGGAGCCGCCGGGAGCCACGCGCTCCCGCGGGAAGGGCTCTCGCTCCGAGCGCCCGCGGTGCTTTGCGCTGGCGAGCTGCTCCGGGCTGCTTGGGTGCGCGATGGAGCGCGTCTGGTCCCTGGCACCCGTCTGGTCCCAGCGCCGCCGGCTCCGGCTCCTTCCCGGCATGCAGGCGCTTCCGAGCCCCTAGGTGGCAACTCGCTCCGGCCGGCGACACGGAGCCTTGTCCGCGCTGAGCTGCACGGGGCTCCGTGTGCAGGGCAGTGGGACCTGGCCGGGTCCCTGCAGCGCGCGAGGCTCCCATCCAGCCCCGCCGCTTCCTCAGATGCTCCCCAGTGCCGGCCAGCCCGGCTGCAACGCGGGCTGGCACCAGGGGCTGCTCTGGCACTGGGGGTGCTCCGGCGCCGGGTTCATTCCCGGACATCCCGGCCTGCACCTGCTGCCGTACAGGACATATACAGGACATGTCATATGGGTCATGTCATACGGGTCATGTCATACGGGTCATGTTGTACAGGACACGCCTGCACGGAGCAGGCGCGACCACTTCCCCTGCCTGAGGTTTCTCTGAACCGTCTCCAGCAGAACTGGCTTTTCTCCGGTGCGGCACAAGGCTCAACAAAAAGGGCATCACTCGACAAGCTTGGAGATGTCCCTAAATGGGGAACGAGTTGGCTACGGGCATAGGCAGCAACACAAAACTCGGGACACAGGGGACAGGGCCTGGCAAAGGTCCCCATGCGCGGGGTGGGAGCTGGAGCGGGGCCAGCTCCAAGCAGGAATGAGGGGCGGGGGTTTCTGGTTAATTAGGGGGAGCAACCCCTGGAATGACCATCCTGGGCTTGTGCTCGCTGCTTCAAGCCAAGCCAGGTTGTTTTTCCTTCAGCCTGTGCCCTGCGCTGCGTTTCAGTGCCGCTGGCAGAAGATGTTGCTGCCCTCATTCCAAGTCTGTAGGGTCCGAGTAAAAGGAGGCAGCGGCCCCGCGGCCAGAGACGTGCCACCCTTGGGAGGTGCACGGGCAAACGACACTGACCGTGAGCGGTTTGTGGGTGCAATGATAAAGATGGGACTTGACGACCGTGCCGCAGCCCTCGCTGCAGCTGTGGTTCCGGGGCGCCCCTGCTCCCCTCTGAGCCCACAGCTCCTTGGGTGATCCGCTTTGGGCACACGGTTTTGGTGACGATCCTTGAAAACCAGTAAGGTACCAGCAACAGGAGACCCGGGTCATCTTGGTGTGTGCAGGAAGCAGAGGGCGGGCGATGCAGGCAAGCAGGAGCAGGTGAGAATCTGGGTTTCCTCTTTTTTTTTTTTTTTTTTTTTTGTGCATTAATTACAGCATCCTTGTTAATTACAGCGTCCTTGTTAATTAGGGCTTAGCCCCAAGCAGTGCCCTGCTCGGAGCCGTGCCGCCTCGGAAGCGGCGCCCGCGACGCCGTCCGTGGCCTGCGGAGCTATGTGGCTGGTCTGGCCTGACCGGCCCGCGCGGGATCCCGGCTCCGGCGGCGCCGCTTCCCCTTCCCATGGGACTCGCGGCTGGAGCTGGGAAAAGCAGCTCCCTGTGCCAGCAGCGCAAACAGGAGGGGAGCCGCAAAGCCGCGACTTGCACACCTCTGCCCTGCCGCCGTGCGGGGCCTTTCCGCGGCGCGGCACAACCGGTGAGCCCGCGGGTCCCCGCGCTCCGGCGGCACCGCGGCCATCCCGGACGGGAGCGTCCGTGTCCGCGCAGCTCGGCCCTGCGGGCCGCCCTGCTCAGTCCCACCCAGTAACTGAGCGGCGTTTCCCAGCCCGCTCCTAAGGATGTGCAAGGGTAAAAAAAATCTTTAAATCTTTATTCCTCTTTTATTTATTTATTTATTTATTTTTAAATTTAAACTCCTCTGTCTGAAGTAGAAGAGTGGCAACACAACCTGGATAATCTGTGTTTTAGGTTGCTCTGCAGAACCTCGAGGACAGGTTGCTGGGTGCGTGAGAAGGCAGACAGGCTGAAGGCTCCAGAAGCAGCAGAAAGCTGCAGGAGCAGTGGCGGTGCCGGACGCGCTGCCCTGGCGGCACAAGCGGCCGTGGGGACGCGGGATCCTCCGGACCCACTGGGAGGCCAGACACTGGAGACTAAACACAAGGCAGCTGCTCCCTCCTCTCCCGCAGGGACAAGTTGCTTTTCCCAGCACCTTACAGAACTTCCCATCCGCACCTGGCTGCTTCCCGCAGTGTGCGTGAAACCCCTAATGGCAGGGTTCAGCTATCAGAAGTTTCTAGCCTGGTATTTTAAAGTTTTTGTTTATTTTTTTCCCTCCAAGCCCATCAGTCTTCACTGTTACTTAAATAAACAGATATATTTGTCCTCAGATTGATTTGTTTGCAATAGCGTGGCATGAGCTGATATTCAAAAGGCTTCTTTGAAACATTTAAGTGAAAGACTCTCCTTTGTAAATCTGAAGCTGTTGACTGATAAATGGGTTGTACACACAAGCAGTACATGGCTTTGAGCAGCTGGGGGTTTTAATCATGACTAATAAAAATGTGACACCCATGGTAATGTGACAAATATTAATTGTGTAATTTTATTTTCTGCAGAATATTAGCGGGCAAACAACTTGTGAAGGAAAATGAGGATTCACATATAAATGCGCATAGTATAAATTATTTCATTTTGTAAAAACCTCATATATTTGAAAAGAATTTAAAATATGCATTATACATCTGTGAAAATACAAATGGCTCCTTTGCTAAAAAGCAATAACCTCTAATGAACCATTAGTAGCTATCATAAATTGCAGTCACTGCCCCGTAATGAAAACTATAATATGAAAATGATTTTTCTGTCCTCTTGCACAGTTTATTTTGCCTGTTTACCCTGCACTTTTAATCTCTTATTCCTGTTCCTTGAGCTTTGTTCCCCGTTCTCATTATGTTCTCTCTCATCTCTTAATGCCGTGCCTTTGATGGCCTGTTTGGGTGGGGACAGAGGCGGCCGGCGTGTCCCAGATCCAACAGGTTGTCCCCTCCCTGCCACCTTGTGCCACGAGGCCGGGTCTGGGCCACCAGCCAGGCCCCGAGATCTCCCTAAACCTGCCTGGTTTGGGGCACGCTACAGGGTGACACTAGGGACACGGGGCGGTGGCAGGAGCAGGGGGTGACACTAGGACACGGGACAGCAACGGGTCTGAAGCGGCAGGCCCTGTGGGGAGGTGACGCTGGGGGCACCTGCAGGACCAACGCGTGGCAGGACAGGGGACACCAAGTGGTGGCAGCCCTGGGCCTGGTGACACTGTGGACATGTGGGGTCACATTGGTGACATAACATGGCAGCCAGGACAGGGGGTGACACTGTGGACACGGGGCAGCAGCAGGCCGGGGCGGAGGGGACACCGGGAACACGGGACAGCAGCCACTCTGCTATGGTGGCAGGTGGGTGACATTGTGTTATTGGACAAGGCAAGCCCCTTGGGGAGAACAATGCTGGGAGTATGGGAAGGCGCCGTCCTGTTGAGGTGAGGGGGACAGGGGTGACACTGGTGACATGGGCAGGGACAACCCAGTGCGGGCAGACCCCGGGATGGGTCCCGATGACCGCGGCATGGCGGCCGCGCTGAGGGGGTGACACTGGTGACACGGGCAGGGACAGCCCAGTGCAGGCAGACCCCGGGATGGGTCCCGAGGACCGCGGCATGGCGGCTGGGCTGCGGGGTGACACTGGTGACACGGGCAGGGACAACCCAGTGCAGGCAGCCCCCGGGACCGCGGCATGGCGGCCGCGCTGAGGGGGTGACACTGGTGACACGGTGACACAGCCCAGTGCGGGCAGACCCCGGGATGGGTCCCGAGGACCGCGGCATGGCGGCCGCGCTG